GATAAAAAGTAGAAAATCAGGAAATTCTGAAGTCCAGCTCCCCGCTAACTTGGCCATGCTGTGGGCTTTGGACATCTCTTGCTCTAACGCTTTATGACAAGAACAATAACGGATTAACATCCTCTTTTACTGGAAAGCTCAAAATAGACAATTCAAAGTGCGTAGAGGTTGGTTGGATGGAAAGCCAAATCCTGTAAACCTGGCTTGGCACCCTGTGGGTTTCATTGACTTTGGCAGGGCTGTGATTGCTTTCTGTTGACAAGGCATCGGTGTTTGCACGTGGCACAAGCTTGTGTAGGACTAGTGTCGCAGTGCTGCTGTCAGTGGCTTTTGCCGTTCTTGAGCGTTTCTTGGGTTACTTAATGGTGAAACCTTAGGCAACATCAGCAAAGTGGTCTTTCCCTCGCCCTCCATCTGGGATTTAACAAATAGGAGTCATTCTTTAAGCTGAAGGATTGTTGTAAAGCCATTTAAAATGAAATGCACGCATTGTTTGGGAATCATTCGGCAAAAAAGCACTTGAAAATCTCCCAGTGTGGGCTGTCTGAAGACAGATGTTGTTTCTGGTTTCTGTGGCTGTTTGGAAAGGAGGTAAGACCGAAAGCTACTTGAATGACTGGGCAAGTACAAGAGAGAGGAGGAGAGCTCCTTCTTTTCAGGAGCGAGGCATTTCTGATGCATCAGTTGCTTGAGGTGATGGTTGTTTTTAAAATGAATGCTGTTTATTCCCTTGCATAAGCTCTGTGTTGCCAACTGTATTTTGAGGATGTCTTTGTACCTGTATATTATCACTGAAAGATGTAGTGACAAATAAATAATAACTGGATGAGGAACTGATTGAAAAGAAAAAGAGAGGAAGAACAAAAATGAGACCAAACTTGATGCTCTGTTTCCATGACTGGGATTTTGCAGACTATAAACTGTTGGCAAAGAATGAGGTGGAATTATGTGAAACCTGCTATCCCGAGATGCTGAAGTTGTACTGCATAGACAGCGGCCCATACCAGTTGGATAGATTTGCAAAACAGATCACCGTGCAACCCCAAATCCCACCACAATGCTGGAGGAGATAAAGTAATGCAGGAAATCCTTTCCATGTCCCTAGAGAGTGTCCCACAGGGCATGTTGCTGGTCGGGAGCTAGAAAGTGCAAGCAGCCATTCATGTCGGGGACCTGTTGTGCTGAACTCTGGAGTCTGTAGGTTTTGCTACCTACAGCATGGATGCGTGGATGATCAGATTAAAAGGCCAATAAAAAAAAAAAAAGGCGGTCATTTTGTGTACAATTTTTTTTCTATGCAGTAACAGTAAAGAGGAAAAAAGAAAAGATTTCCTTTCACTTTGGTGAATGGAAGTGAAAGCCCTTAAGTTTTCGAGTGAGGCTGGGACTTAAAGATGTTTCTGCATTGGTTTTTGTGCGGTTGTGATTGTTACGGAGATTTATTTGGGGGTGGATGGGCTTGGTTTTAGGTGACCTTCTTCAGTGAGTGTTGGCAATCAGTTACCAAAGGAGGCATATGTTACTAATTTTTTTGAGATTTGTGAAAGAGAGTCTCTCTTATGGTGTATATATAAGTGGACTTGCTTATCTCAGTGAAGTCAGCTGCTCGAGGGAGTATACTCTTTAGGGCAGGGATACTGTGAGAATGGATTTCAGCAATGATCAATTAAGTTTTATCTCATGAAATCGACACTGCATAAAATTTTATTTTAAAGTATTGGTACTCACTGCTGTGGGCCAGATGCAGCCCAGGCTGGCATGGCTAATTCACCTTGGCCACGCTCCAGCAGAGCATCCTGTTTCAACAGAGTGGTTAAGCGTGTGCTTATCTTTAAGCAGGCAGCTAAATCCCGGTGGTTTCACTGCTGCTCTGGACCATGGCTTCTTGACCAGGGGATGGGTCAGCTGCAAGGAGAACCTATACCATGTTCCTCCTCCAGGATTTCTTTCCCTGGATTAGAGCTGGGCCTGTTACTGGAAAGGTGATGGGGTGATACACTCTTGGGCTGACTTTATTTCAGGGGTCGGTGTCCCCTGCTGATCCCCGCGTCAGGCTGCTGCTGGGCTTGGACAAGGTGTTGGGGTTGTGGGTGATGCCAGCGGGGCCCTTGTCTGGGGGAGGAGGAGATGTCTTCCCTCTGGGTGGCAGCATGCCCTTCTTGCGAAGGGAGGAGACACTTACTTAGCTGATCTTGGGCAGGAGAACGGTGACAAACATCTGCAGGTGGGTTCATGGCATGTTGGGAGCTGAGCGGAGCGCAGGATGGCTCCATGGGTGCTCCAGAGTCCACCTGGGCACTGTGGCTGTGGGCTGGGGCCTCTGCAGCGTGAGTGCTCGAGAGACAATTAAAAGAGAGAATTAAAACATGTTTTGGAAAACAGATTGCCTTTTCTGTTTGAAGTTTCCAAGAAAGCAAAGCAACCTGCCCTTCCCCCCACTTTAGATCCCACCTGTTTTGGTTTTTTTCCTAGAAAAATGTGAAATTCATTAACATGTGGTGAAAGCAATGAAACGACGTCACCTTGATTTAAAATCTGTTTTAAATCTTAAAATGATGGAGCCAGAATCTTAACTGCAAATAGCCTTGCTTTTGTGGGTACGAGGCAGACTGTCAATATTACTTGAACGTCTCTGGTTTTAGTAGTTTAGCATCCTTTGCAACAATATGATTTGAAAAGAAAGCAAGAAGAGATGTAGGAAGAAAAAAAAAAAGAATATTATTAATGTCAAAAACCAAGTCCTGCTTGCTGTGCTCAGGCGTAGCTGCGGTGCCTCAGGAGAGGAGAGTGAGCAGAGCCTGGCTTGGTGACGGCCACGAGCTCTGTCAGCATCCCACGGTGCCCTCCTGGCAGGTCCCGTGGCTGCTTCTCCTCTTGTATCCTCAGCTCTGGGTCACGGCTACTTGCCGCACTGTTTTCTGAGATGGGAAATATTTCTATGATTAATTGTGTGAGTCTTGTCTGTCACCTCCGTTGTGACCTTGAATGTCTGTTTAGACCCCGTGTCACCCTGAATCTCCTTTTGCTCAGCCTGTGTGTTTAGCTCCTGCAGTCTCCTCCTGACTTCTGGCAGCAAAATAAGAGAGTTAAATCACTTTCTCTCCTAGGACTTGGGATTCAAATAGTGTAATCCCAGCATTTAATAAGGGCAGCAAAGGCGATCCTGCAACATCCCTGTGAACCTCATTGCTGTTGCCACTGTGTTGAATATAATGTTTTTGTTTGGGTTGCTTAGTGAAGGTCTGGTGCTAAGCAGCACTGCCTGCCTGAAGTTTTCCTCACGCTGCTGATCTGTGTGTCTACTCAATAATTGGAAATGCTAAAAAGTTCTTTTGAGGCTTTGGCTTTCAGGGAGTATTTGGCTTCAAAGTATTTGCTGGTATGAGACGACATATGCAGGAGGCTGAAGTGCCGGCTGTTTTGCATGTCGTGGCTACTTGCTCTTCTGTGTTTTAGCCTGGAATGGACCTGAAGGAGGATTTATTGACCCTTTTTCATTTGTATTGTCCAGTCGATCCCCACACCGATGTATCGGAATGCTGTTGCTTGCAGGCTAGGAGGACAAGTGTGCCGTAGCAGCAATGTGTTAGGAGAAGTAGTAACCCTGCTAGGAGTAAATGTCATTCCTCTGCCAGTCCCAAATCTAGGCATCATTAAATTCCCATGTGATTCTTATTTTGTGGTGGATTTTGTCTCTTACGTGCAAGTGGTACACAGCATTAGAGCTCACCAACAATGAGTAGACTTTGAATGGTCTTTGTCTTGGTGAAATTAAAAAATGGCCTGTGCAGTGGTTTCATGTGTGTGCCTCTTGATAATTTTTTGCTTTTGTTTTCTGAATTATTTATTGTCCTGTGAAGGGAGTCTGCCACCAAAATATTGTCCATCTCTGAGTTTGGAGAGGGCAGCGTGGAAGTTGCGGTGCAAATGTTCTCGGGGACAGATTGTGGGGCAATTTCTGGGCTTTTGTATTTTTTGGGTGTGAAGCGCTTTTGGGTGCGTGCTGCCCAGCCTCCCCTTTGGGAGGGCGTTTTGAGAATGTCTGGGTTGTCTGGCCCTCTGACCTTGGGCAAGGCGGGACAACTCCCTGGAAGCAAAAGCAGGAATCCTGTTTCGGTGTTTCTTGGAAACAGTTAAGATAGGAAACAAGACCTCCAGAGAAGGGCAGATGTGTCAGAAAGTTTCTGGTAATATTTTAAGGCTGTAGTGAACTAAGGTTAATTTAATCCATTAGCCAGAAAAAACAGATGAAGTGGCTCAAGCGATCAGACCCCTGCTGATAACAGCCTTGCGGCTGGACGTGGTGGTTTGGCGCGCTCTGGTCCTCGTGATCTCTCCCCAAGCCATGGCCCTGTCGAGACGGACAGAGATACATCCATAGACAGTCACCAATGAGCTAGCCTCACTGAAAAGCAGAGCTGGCAAAAAAGCAAGGCTGAAGAGTGCCCGTGTATAAATGACACTTTTGTCATAGTAGATTTTATGCCTGTGCGAAGCTAGAGTCCAGTCTGCTAATGTCAGCATGAATAGTTTTTTCCCTTGACTTCTTCCCTGCAGTTAATCCAGGGAATAAATGCAGCTGCTGAAGGTGAAGCACAAATTCCCTGAAATTTAATTGTCCGCCCCCTTTTTCCCATACGTGTCTGTGTAACCTGGTAGAGGCTACGCATATGCAAAGGAGAGCCTAATTTATGGCCAGCGTGGCTGACCAGGATCAAATCAAAGCAGGACTGAGCAGAAGTTTATACTCAACCCCGCCCCGCCCCCAGTTTGATTGTAAAAACCCAGTTTTGGTTTACTGTCGAGAGCCAGCCCTGGCTAGAATTACGTATCGAGTGCCTGATACCGCGGCCGCAGCTGTCAAGTGAAGGGCAGCCAAATCCAAGTCCTCTTGCACCACGTGCCCGTTGGCAGGTTGGTGTGCAGGCTTTCTGTCCAAGATGTTTGTTTTGTTTCATGGTCTGTTCTGCTCTCTCTTCCCCCTCCCCATCCGCTCTCAGATGTTTGCTGCCGAGGAGAATGTAGATTTTCGGATACACGTGGAGAACCAGACGCGAGCGAGAGACGACGTGAGCAGGAAGCAGCTTCGGCTCTATCAGCTCTACAGCAGGACAAGTGGGAAACACATCCAAGTGCTCGGCAGGAGGATCAGTGCCAAAGGAGAAGATGGAGATAAATATGGTAAGAATATTTATTGGGATCACCCAGACCCCAGGGCAAAGGCTTTAATCCTGTATGTTGTACTGAGAACCTCTTGGGAGAAGAATAAGAGCAGGAAAAACAAAACAGGATAAAAGGGAAAAAAACATTTCCAGGTTAAGAACATGGGGTTTTTTTGTGTTGGAGCAGGCTGTCAGCCCAGCTCCCAGCTGCAGGCAGTTCCCACAGTAGTGTCATGGCCCAATTTACGGTGCTTGAAGAGAAACATCTTTTTCTGCCCAATGGATGAGCTCACAGCGTGTCTATTGTAATTTGTAAGTGATACACAAGTTAGTGATTGGGGTTGTTCTTTCCCCATGAATTCTGGGCTTCAGTTGGGGTGAATCTAGTGCTTTAGTGGAGCATTCTCATCTTCCCAGGGAAGGGAGATACTTGGTTTGAGCTGCAATTAAGCAGACTTTGGAGCTTTGAGAGTACCCCAGAGCTTAAGTTGAACCTCGGGGAGTGTGGATCCCGGAGGAACACAGACAGTTGAACTTCCTCTGGGTTAGCAATGTAGCAGTGTGTTCAACTATTGTCACTGTGATTTGCATACAAGCAACATGCTAGCAATGCTGCTAGCAGGCTGAATTATGAAAAAACCCTGTAATTCTGGTACATTTCAAGATGGTTGTGGCAGAGATACTTTTGCTCAAGTTGGATGCTGGAAGGATTTTAGGGCTGTTCAGAGAACTGGTCCTTTTTCTCTTATGGATGTACAGCTCCGTGCATTCACGTGTTGCTGCAGAGGTGTGTGCATGCGTTGGCTAGCATGCCTGTTCACAAGAGGTTGACTTCGTGTGCAGCACTGGTGAGGTGGAGGTGGGCTACGATGACGGCAGGTCAAAATCTGGGAATGGTTGGTCCCGTGCTTAGCACAGAGGGCAGCTACTGCCGCTGCCAACATGGGCAGAGGAGCAGGGTGAGCTGTGCCATGGGAGGTGACAGCTAGGAAGCACCTGGCTGGTGTGAAATGAAACCCCATGGTTGTTGTGTAGAGTCACCTGGTCTCTCGGAGAAAGCCCTGCCCTGTGGTCTCATCAGCCTTGTCCTTTGCCATTTCCAAATTCCCAGATAAAACAGGAGTGGAAAGTGCCACTTGGCTGCTAATTATTGTGCCATTTTATTGCATTCATCCTCTTAAGGTTTGATATGTAAACTAGTCGCTGTGTGCTCGCTGCTGGCTTCCCAGGAAACGCTCCTGCCCACGGTGACTGTCAGGTAACGTGATGGAGTTTTCCTCTCCATAAAAGAAGGCAGCATTTACAGTGGGGTGCAGCAGGGAAGTGTGCCCGTGAGCAGCTGACAAGTGCTAATTTATGTGTCAAAGCCCATCTTGTCCCCTTCATACATATGCAATTGTGTCTGAACCACAAATCCTCGCGCAGGAGCACGCTCGTGACTGGTGGCGATGATGCACGATTGCAGAGCCTGAAATTTCCCGTCTGGGGAGCTCCCCGGCGCCTGCATTGCTGGTGCCACCAAATCCTCGCCGCTCCTGCTTGCTGGTGTCCTCCTGACAACCCGGAGTGCTCCAGCCATGGAGGCCATTTGCTGACGCCCCCGCCTGCTCCTTCCCCCGCCCCCACCTCCTAATAAAACTCCCTGACGCGTCAAGCTGCAAAGTGTTCCCGTCCCTAGCCGTGCTGAAAGGTTATGGAAATCTGTCCATCATCTGGCTTGGCACGGGAACGCTTAAGAGCATGATAATCGGGGAGACAGTGAGGTGGGACACGGAGGTCCAGGATGTGGCCATGCAGAGCTCCTAGCTGTGATAATGAAGGGGGGAGAGATGTCAGAGTTACTGAAGTGAGAACCATCTGTGTTACAGCCAAAACTGGATACAAAGGCAATGACACAGGATTCATTATGTGCTGGGAACCCCTCCCCCCGAGGCATTATTATGGAGTAACCTTTGATCAAGACCAGAGAGAGGCTTAAACCAGGTCTGGGGATCTCAACAGTTGCAAACTTTTGATCCACATCTCCGTCTTGCTGGTTGGGTCTGCCTCTGAAGGAGGACACCTTTCCTCTCATGCAGCAGATGGCTGTTTTTCCTCCTGCCCTTTTTCTCTTCCCTCTTTTACTGTCTCTGCGCTGGCATCGTGAGTCAGAACCAGGCTTAGCACTGGGGAGCGCCCAGCTCCTTTCTTGGCTACATCTCCCTTGCAGACGGTGCAGTCTCCCACAGCTTCTTCACTGTCTTAACCCTGTCCCCAGTGACGGGAGATGATGGTGGAGGCGATGTGGATTGATCTCCTAAGGATTACAGCCCGGGGAAGGCTTTGGGAGGACGAGCAAGAGCCAATGTCTCAGAAAAGGCAAGAGATGTGGGAAAAGGGACACATGAGCTGGCTCCAGCCCTGAATTCTGCCAGCAACTCAGGCACATTAAGAGAAGGTAACCTTAGGCAAGGGCAACGGGGGACTTGGTCTGTAGAAGGCGTGGCTGTGGCTAAGGTCCATAGTGCTCATCACCAGCAACTAGCACCAGCCAGTTCTAAGGATGGGAGAGCTAACGACATTTTAGCACCTCTTTCCCCTCTCCTCCCATACATTCACAACTGATGAAAGACCAGTGTCCAACTGAAGATATGCTTTTTGTTTCTTTTCTCTCTCTTTTTTTTTTTCTGTGCACATATGTAGCTTCCAAATGGCTGGCATGGGACCGTTGTCCCTGCCTTTGAAGGGAGGTTGGTTTTATTGCAAGGTTTTATTGACTTCTGTAAAACTTCTCACCTCTTGGTTGAAGAGAATGCCCAGAAAACAGGGGAGGTGCAGTGAATTGCTCCTTTCTGCGCAGCCACCAGCAAAATGACCAGCGAGCCCTGGTTCGGGGAGAGAAGATACCACAGGGCTGGGGGAATCCAGCCGGAGGAAGCCCCCTTGAATGTTTTATCTGGGTCTGCAAATGCCACGTGCAAGGAAAAATGCATGCTCTGCAATGCATAATTTTGCTGGCATAGTAATTCCGGTGTGTAATTTTTGGTTTATGCATTCTTCGGGGGCCAAGATCTGGCCCCATGTGTCAAATTATTAAATGGCAAATTAAGTCAGTTAATAGAATTAATTGAGTCGATGTAATCCTTTTAATCAGATGGATTTGATCCCTTCTCAGATGAATTAGAATCCATTAACAGATAAGTCAATTATTGGACTAAATTAAATTTAATAATAATGCCTGCTGCTCACAGCAACACTAATTAATCTAAATACACTTACCTATCTCCCAAGGTTGTGGGTTTTTTTAAGGCTTAATTGATGTTCCTAAAGTGCTCTGAGATCTTTAGATAACAGACGATCTATGTGAGCAAAATATTATCTTTTAACAGACTATAAACTAATTAAAAGGCTGATCTATTTACAGATTGCATTTTTACTTTAATCTCTTCAACCTATTCAGAAGGAGTTTGCACGGGCCCAGAAAAACAATATTCCTGTTATAAGCTTATTATTACTTTACAGGTTCCTAAGTGGTCCTTTCATTCAGAAAATGAAAGGGGGAAGGAGAAAAAACAACCATTAAAGTGCTGACAAAAAAAAAGAAAAGGACCTGGAACCTTTATATTCTACCTCCGATAAATGGTACAGATAGGGAAGAGAGGGATCAGTGACCTGAAACCTTAGATCCTTTCATTTATTTTCATTTCACAAAAGGCAGAAGACATTCTATCCTGTTTGTTCACGATCTTTGTATCCGGCGCAGTTGGGGAGACAGAGCTCTCTTGGTTGGGTGGAGGCATTTTTTGCCTCATTTGTATTTCACAGCCATGTGATTTTTGTTTTAATTTGTCCCCAGCTACTGCTGTCCTGCAGGGCGATGAGAAGTGATAGCCATCAGGAGAGAGGCGAGGGGGGGTGTGAGAGGTCTTTGAGCTTGCCCTCTCTGTGGAGGTAACTTATTTGCAGCAAGTGCTTGGGTGGTGCTTGTTTTATTTGCGGCAAGGCTGGGAAGTGGTACATGTAGGTAGATTATTAGTCGGTGTATCCAGCTCACTATCCAGTGGTATTTTGTCCTTTGACCTAAGCTATCACAGTTTTAAAAAACTTGGGTCCCCTAGCAGGTTATAAACTATCTGTTTTATAAACCTCCTTAATAAACCTTCTAGTCTACAGCACGGGAGGCTTTGAGGATGCCCACGCAAGGGGCAGCACGCAGGTGTGGCATCTCTCCTTCTCAGCATCCCATCGCTGCCAGCGTTTTCAGCCACGCAGGGGAGCGGACCTTGAGCCAGTGAAGTCCTCTTGAAGGCTCCCCCTGAATTCAGCGGCTTTTAGCTCAGGACTCAAGAGGTGCTCCTGAGATAGGAGGTTTGGGGAGGTTAACAAAGCATGGGTTTGCTAGCAGGGTGTCGAGAAATCTGGGCTCAGGCAGACCAAGGAGGGAAGCAAATTCAAGAGGTGGTGTGCATGTGTGATGGCAGGCATGACCTCCACATGTCATGGGTATTCCTGGTACAGAACATCACGCCCCATACAGGTGTGCTTTTTGGGTGGTTCGGGGAAAGCAAGGAGCTCAGGGAGATGGGTCCTCCTTCCTGGGGCCACCCCAGCTGGGGTGATGGTCTCCACCTTCTGTTCTAGCTGGAGCTTCCCAGAGGTGCCAGTGGACAAGCCCATGGAGCACAACATTACAGCTGTCTAGACATCAGCCACACTCCATCCCGCCAGAGATTTCATTTGTGGTAGAAGTGGGCTCTGTTCCATGAGGAGGTGTAATATGTGTGGAAAATATTATTGTAGCAAAATAGCCTCCTTTAATTGACTCTCAATTTTGCAGGATTCCTTCCTAGGTTTGGGTAATCCTGTGCTCTCCAGAATTAATGAGCTGACATAGCACTTCTTCGGGTTTGGCAGCCTGACAGCTAATTTAGAACTCTCTAAACTCATTTCACTAATGACTCCCATTTGTTCTATCTCAAAGCCTGGAAACAAATGCAAAGTACCAGTGCCATTGTCCCGTCTTTAGCAAGTCATTCTTTC